ATTCTTACTGTTTAAGTATTGCAGTGGCTAATTTACACTAGCGTTGCTCTCTGAAGAGCAATCCAGATTTGGATCGCTTCTCCATCGCCTGTCTTAACCCTGCACCAGAGCACTGAAAGCAAATGCAATGCTTGCAGTTGCAGGAAACCCCCATTCGGTTCAATAGGCCATGTTCAGCAGGCAGCACTGCCTGCTGAATGTGACAGCGAGGATTATTTTTGCCATACCATGGTGCAAAGCATCACAACTGCAGCATGTATACTCCCTCCTCTGCTGCATAAGAAAGAGCTGTTGGAAGTAAAAACACTGCTTTTTCACACACCCCCCCTTCACCCAAACACTAGCGTAAAAGAAGCCTAACACAAGTTACTCTAATGATCAAATTAGAAAAAAAAAACGTTTTCCTATTGTTGCATATTTTCTTTATTGCAAAGAAAACCAAAAAATGTTTGCAAGACAATATTGCCAAAAGAAAGTCTTGTTTATTCCAAAAAAATATGTATTTTTGCTAGTTTAAGTAGATTATTATGAGCTGAGGGCATCAGATTTTCTGAGCCTATAGTTCTCAAGATGTAAATCTGACCTTGTTTGTAATTAGCCAACTCCATCATTCTGTAAGGAAAGCCAGTCACTGAAATAAAGCAAATAATGAATGATGTTGGACTTTTTGGCTTATGAAGATTTTGGTTTATCTTTTTAATATACTTTTATGCAGCTTTAGGGCTGTGCAGCATTATAATAAAGTTTAGCTTTACCCAGAAAGAAAGTCAATGGCTAGGTCTTATTGACTGAACTGTGCATAATGCTTGCCTACAGCTGCAATAGGTTTTTATTGAGATTCATTCTACTATAGCAGCACATTGGCTTTGGAGTACATTCAGTTTTGCATGTTGGATTAATTAAAAATAGATGTAAATAACAAAATAATACCTAGTTGTTTAAGGCACCAAGTCAACCCAATAGAGAACACATCAATATACCTGAAAATGATATGTGTGTTCCTCATGGGCAGTCTAGAATTTCAGCAAAGCAAACGTTTCCTATGAGCTTGCCGAAGCCAGTTATATACAGTACTCATGAAAAATAGTTAATTTTAGTCGGTCACTGAATGTAGGTGACCTTTTCAGGTGTGCTGAAGGTTTTCAATTAATTTCTAACTGCTTGGACTAGTTTTTCATAACCCTGCATAGCACACTATTTCTGATAATTCTCTGTATGTCCTTGAGAGTTGGTACAGCCCCTATGTGAGCAAAACTGTCAAGTTGAAAAAAAGACACTAGTCTATCTAGTTCAACAAAAAAAAAAAATACACACAAATAGAAAACCATAGGAAGGCAAAAACCCCAATAAAGCACAACCCCAATAAAAAAATTCCTTCCTGATCCCTCATGACGCTATCTGCTGTTCTCTGGATCAACTTCCCCTGTAGTTATTACCTCTAAATATTAATATCCAGCTATGTTTTGTGGATTTAGGAATGCAACCAGCTTTTTTTTAAACATTCTACTAAGCTGTTTATGAGGGAGTCTATTCCATTTTTTCGAAAAATTGTACTGTGCAGTAGCCTTTCCTTATGTGACGGTATATTCTCCTTTCCTCCAGACATAAAGAGTTCCCCCTTGTCCTCTGTAATTACATGAAAGTGAATAACTCTACTCTATAACTCCAGATCTGTTGATCTATATTTCTTTGAAAAATTTAATTCTACTTGCCTGGAGTTTGCATGTTCTCCCTGTGCCTGCATGAGTTTCCTTCGGGTACTCCAGTTTCCTTCCACACTCCAAAGACATGCTGGTAAGTTAATTGGCTTCTGTCTAAATTGCCCCTAATATATACATTATATGTATGAATGTGAGTTAGGGACCTTAGATTGTAAGCTCCTTGAGGGCAGGGACTGATGTGAGAACGTACAATATATATGTAAATCGCTTCATAAATTGATCGCACTATATAATCACCTATTATAAATAAATAAACTAATTAAATATTAAAACAGAAAAATGAATTGTGTATTATGTAGAACAATCAAGATTATCTGATATTGATATTAGCATCCTGCAATTCCCTGTACAGCATTACCCACACTAGGAGAAGGTGTGTTAGGAACATAGTTACAGGATTTAAAATGAGAAAAAAAGATATGGCATCCCACAATTCTGCATCGGAATAGAGTAATAAAAAGGCTTTGCTCAGGCATTTTGTATGCAGGCTGCCTTTGTTTTTGTGTCTGCATCCGCTCCCAGTTTGAAGTGGGCAGCCTATTGAGATGGATATAGACGCAGTGGCTGCATGGACACAGCCGCATGTCAATAATTATCAGTTGTACAGGAAAGCCCGGAACACAGACAGTGTGCGTTTGGAGACCTGTAGCCACTCCTGCTCTTCTTTCAAATTTTAATATGCAGCTCAGCTCAGTCCATGCAGCCTTGCACCTGCATCCACTTCTATAGGCTGCCTGCCCACAGCTCAGGGTGGATACAAGTGCAAAAAAACAAAAGCAGCCTTCATGTAGGAAGGGTGCCATTTCCCATCTGAACAAACCCTATAACTTCCAATTGGGACATTTGTTTCCAGTGAAAACTATCTAAGAGGGGATTTCCTTTATTTTGGAGAGAGTTCCTTTTATTTTATTGCTTTTTGGACAGGAGGTGAAGATAATTCTCTCCAATAGCACACAGACAGCAAATAAAACTCTTCAATACTCTGTTCAAAGCTTAAAAAAAGTTTTAGCTTTAGATATACATTAAGGTTAATAACATCCTCCTGTATCCTATTTACTTTACTTGTATTTACTTTCCATTCTCCCATGGTTCAGTTTTCATGCTAGGAAAGCAGTCTACCACCTCTCGAATTAATTAGAAAGCTGCAGGGTTTCAGGCAGTGGAGACAATGTACTTTTACTTAATGAAACTGCCAGGAAAAGCTTGACATTTTGTTGTTCGGAAAAACGGGGTTCAGGGAATATTTAACAGAGATCTCACAACTATTTAATCAATGTACCATCTTTTTAGATGCTATTGATCACCTTGCCTTGGAGTCTTGCTTTACAGCTACTCTATTTTCTAAAATAGTAAGATACATTTAAAGAGGAACTATACTTAGAAAGCAAAATGAAATCAAAGTGCTGTCTTCCAATACTTTTCCGCAGTACAGTATGCTAGTGAGCAATTGGTTATTTTATTAAAGAAATAGACAATGTTCAGGAAAGTGAAAGTTTCTGAGCTTAGTAAATAGGATGAAACTGTGATATACTAAATCAGCCAATCATCATTTTTCATGCACATAACTGGGTATACACTGGGTGTTCTCTTTATTTACCATCATTTAACCACTTGCCTACCAGGCACTTATACCCCCTTCCTTACCAGGCCAATTTTCAGCTTTCACCGCTGCCGCACTTTGATTGACAATTGCGCGGTCATGCAACATTGTAGCCATATGAAATTTTGATCATTTTTTTCTCACAAATAGAGCTTTCTTTTGGTGGTATTTAATCACCACTGGGCGCTTTACTTTTTGCGCTATAAATTAAAAAAAGTGCAAAAAATTTGAAAAAAAAAAAAAAAGTTTATTTGTATTTTTTATAAAAATTTTCAAACAGGTATTTTTTCTCCTTCACTGATTTGCGTTGATGAGGCGGCACTGATGGGCACTGATAGGCGGCACTGATGGGCACTGATAGGCAGCACTAAAGGGCACTGATAGGCAGTACTAATGAGGTGGCACGGATAGGCGGCACTGATAGACAGCACTAATTAGGGGTCACGGATAGGCAGCACTGATATGCAGCACTGATAGGCGGCACTGATAGGTGACACTGATGATGGGTACTGATAGACGGCACTGACTGGCATCACTTCTGGGCACTGACTGGCGGCACTGACTGGCAAAACCCCTGGGCACTGACTGGTGGCACTGACTGGCAGCACTGCTGGGCTGCACTGGTGGGTGGCACTGGTGGGCAGCACTGGTGGGTGGGCACAGGTGGGTGGCACTGGTGGGCACAGGTGGGTGGCACTGGTGGGCACAGGTGGGTGGGCACAGGTGGGTGGCACTGCTGGGCACATGTAGGTGGCACTTCTGGGCACAGGTAGGTGGCACTGCAGAGTGGCACAGGTGGGTGCACTGCTGGGCACAGGTGGGGGCACAGGTGGGCACAGGTGGGGGCACTGCTGGGGAACGGGTGGGCGGGGCTAGTGGGCGCACTGCTGGGCGGAACTTGCGGGTGTCACTGCTGGGCACCGATCATCAGGGCACTGATCATCAGTGCCCTGATGATCGGTGCCGATCCCCGCTCTGACAACTGCCGGTTCTCGGCAGTACTTTCCTCACGATCTGACAGCGTGAGGAAAGTGCAGCCGAGAACCGGCACTTGCATTTCCCTGTGATCAGCGTGTCATTGGACACCGCTGATCACGTGGTAAAAGGCCGGTGGGATCGGCCTGTCACCGCATCACGTGATCAGCTGTGTCCGTAGGACACAGCGATCACGGAGATCGCCGGGTGCGCGCCCCCTGGGGCGCGCAGGAGAGCGCGTTCTGGGAGGACGTCATATGACGTCCACTCAGAACTGGCCGGCCGCGGTGAAGCCGTCATTCGGCTATGCGCGGTCGGCAAGAGGTTAATCAGCAAATACATTTTGCCTCAACATTTTAGTGAATCAGCCATAATGTGTTTCAAATGATAATAAACACCACTTGGCCACTTGCTTACAATAAATCTTACCTGTAGGTACAAAAAATATATCCCAAAACGTGCACTGTTTAAGAGATGTTTTTGCAGCCGGTGATATCACCGGCGCATGCGCTCTGAAGGGACGACATACTCATACTGTCCTTTCAGAGCTCTACACCACAACTGTGACTCCTGTGTGCATGCGCGGGAGTGACGTCATTGCTACTCTGCTATTCAAATGGCTAGTGATCATGAATTAGGAAGTAGGACTGGGTGAAGATTGAAGCCCTGTCAGCAGTGACAGCATCCCGCTGAAGAGCTTCCCTGTAGAATCCCTGGCGGTATTCCCGAGTGTAGCTCGGGGTAAAGTTTCAGTACCACAAGCGGTAACCCCAAGCTACACTCGGGCTTACCATGCGGTGCTGCTCCGGGATCTGTTCTTCTCTTACCTTGTCCTTCACTCCCGCGATGTCCCTCCTGCAGTGTCCCCTGTAATGTCCTCCGGCGGATGCCGGCATCTGTCTTCTGGGTTTCGTCCCCTGCGACATCGGGACGGAACGGCGGGAAATTTGAAAATTACAAAAAGTGACATTCACTAAATTCACTAAAATAACATAGTAAAACATTAATGTATCAAACTATTTCACATACATTTTGTCCCTGGCGAAACGTCCATGGCGTCCAAAAAGCATCCCTTTAGGTCAAAATCGGTTTTAGACCAGCTAGAGAACAGCGATAGTAAATTAGAACCACTTGCAGAATTGAGTGATAATGATTCGTGGGGAAATTCGTCATCAGACACTGAAAATGATTTTGCAGCTTTGCTCAGTAATATTCAAACTTGGAGCTATATTTCAAATTTCAGTGTTTTTGGTTTGATTATATTATTGAATTAAATGTATTATTATATTATTATTTTTTATGATTATTTATTAAATTATAATTTATAATTTCGTGTTTCAAATTTTATCATACCCGGGATGTGTACTAGACTCTTGTTCAGACAGATTTCAGTGAGTTATTCCTAAAAATTACAGACCTACAATAAAAAAAATACATATTTCCATGCAAAAAATGTACCGCATGGAGCACAGAAATATGGACATAATCAGACCGCTATGGAGGTTAATTTAAGCTTTCATAATGTGCTAGTATGCGATGCATACTAGTACATATGGTATTACCTTGCAGGAGGTTTTTTTTTTTTAAAGTTTACTACATATTTAATTTCAAAAAATAATATTTCACCATGCTGCTGTATTCTTTGTCCATAAATATACATATGAAGTTGATTTGAGGTGGAGAGTTTCTGCTCAACCTCTAAATATTACATCAACAATTATGGGCGATGGAAAAAGGGTGGGGTTTAATGCTCACACACCGCCCATATGCATCAATGGGTGGCCATTTTTTATGTGCTGAGGGCGCACTCACTGAGTACTGTCAGCACAAAGACAGAGCTGTCATACACAGCTCTTGGTCCAGGCTAGAAATCAGTAGCTGGTGGGACCAGCTTTCGATCATAAAACCAATGTCATAGTGGCCATTTAATCACCAAATCTTCCCCCTACAGGGTGTTCTGGACTATTTAAAGGGATGCTGAGGAAGGCGGGAAGGGATTAAAAAAGTGAATATTCACCTAGCTTAGTTTAAAAAAATCATCCAGTCGTGCAAAAAAAATATTTTTCGCTTGCATTGGGTATTCAAGGTAAATACTGCTTTGCCCTTTTTACTAAGCTTAGTTGTGAATATATGCTTTGCTACGTTAATAGTCTGTATTCTTTTATTAAACCAACACATAATGGGTGCTGATGGCCTGCACCAGGACAGGCTTCCAGCAACAACAGTTGACCATGCCTGCACAATGTGTTTCAGCAGGGTCCCATGTAACCTCAGCCTCAGGTACCTGTGACTGATGACGCCAGAGACCAGTTGAGTTTCCCTTTGAAAAAAGTGACTGATCAAGGACTTTCAGGACAGGATCACTAAGTTTTTAGTAAAAGTTGCAAATTTTAAAAAGATCAAAAACAACTTTCAAATGTTAAAGTCTAGTTTTAAAGTGAAAGTAATGGCTACATGTATGCATGCTTAAGGAAAAAAAAAAAAAAAAAAAAAAAAATATATATATATATATATATATATGCTGTAAATAGGGATATATACATTTGGAATATTAGAATCAAACATTTAGTGTGTCAGTGTAGTTACTAAATCTTATTCAGCCAGTTCACAGGGACCAGCCAAATTTCGATCCATGGGTGGCCACCTCTGCCCGCAATGGAAATTTTCTCAATCAGCAGCTGCAGACACAAATCAGTGTATTCTGACAAGGAAGAGATTCTGTTTCTGAGAATACAATGTCAACAGTGGGGGGGGGGGGGATATGCACTTCCCTTGTATGGATGGAGGAATCTGTTCTGAGAAAAGATTTTTTTTTTTCTTTCCATTCAGAACTCCCCGCTAGCTGAAAGAAAGAAAGTAAAAAATTACCCACAAAAGTTTGGCCAGTTCTGTGGACTCAAGGCTTTTGCCCATAAGCCATGTACACTTTGTGTGCGCATGGTGGAACCACAGTATTTATCATGCAAACCCACAAGGAGATATTATGGAAACGTTGCATTTTGACGTTTTTCCTAACAAGTCCAATGGTTTGCTATGGAGTGGAACAAATGCCAGCATCTGAAAATGCACCTTCTCCAAAACTGTACAATAAACATTTTGGCTGGAGTTTCACTTTGATATGGATCAAATGAATAGACCATGCTTTAAAACTTATTTTTAGATGACGGCCTCTTTTTTTTAGGACCCTGAAAATACAGTCTCATTTGTTTCTTTTTTTATCTTTAATTTCTCTATTTATTAGCAGGGGCTAAGTGTTCTAAGGGCAGGGGGGGGGGGGCATTTGCCCCCTTGGCCATACAAAAGTAATATATGCTGGGCTGAGTGGAAATAGTGTGGGGGGGGGGGGGGATATGCACCCCATTGGAGGCCCTGATCAGAGTAGTTACATAGTTAGTCAAGGCTTTTGCTGAAAAAAGACAAAGGATTTTCCTAACATATGGTTTGCCAGTTCAACCAAAAAAAAAAAAAGTTATAATGCTATACCCACAGTTGATCTATTTATTAGCAGAGGAAGGCAAAAAATCCCATCAAAGCATGATCCAATTTGCATCCTGCTGGGAAAAAAAATTTCCTTCCTGATACCCCCGAGAGGTAATCGGATATTTCCTGGATCAACTTTACCTATAAATGTTAGTATCAACTTTACCAGTTATATTCTGTGTATCCTACATAATTCTAGCAGCCAAAATTACAGTTATTCAGAGCTGGAATCAATCAGTGGCAGTCTTTGACTATGCCAAACAAAACTGAACTGAATAATGATGAACTCTCATGTGCTCTTAACCACTTCAGTACCAGGCACTTTCACCTCCTTCATGCCCAGGCCAATTTTCAGCTTTCAGCGTTGTCCCGCTTTGAATGACAATTGCTCAGTCATGCAACGCTGTACCCATTAAAAAATGTTATCATTTTGTTTACACAAATAGAGCTTTCTTTTGGTGGTATTTAATCACTGCTGAGTTTTTTATTTTTTGCTAAATAAACAACAAAAATGAAACTTTTGATTAAAAAACGCATTTTTCTTCATTTCTGTTATAAACGTTTGCAAATAAATAACCTTTCTTATGTATGTATATGGAAATGTATTCTGCTACATTCTTTGGTGATAACAACCCAAATTAGTATATATTATTAACCACTTGCCTACCGGGCACTTATACCCCCTTCCTTACCAGGCCAATTTTCAGCTTTCAGCGCTGTCACATTTTGATTGATAATTGCGCGGTCATGCAAGATTGTACCCATATGAAATTTTTATCATTTTTTTCTCGCAAATAGAGCTTTCTTTTGGTGGTATTTACTCGCTGCTGGGCACTTTACTTTTTGTGCTATACGCAAAAAAAGTGCAAAAAAATGTTGAAAAAAAAAGTTTTTTTGTTTCTATTATAAAATTTTTCAAACAGGTAAATTTTTCTCCTTCACTGATGTTCGTTGATGAGGCAGCACTGATGGGCACTGATAGGCGTCACTGATGGGCACTGATAGGCAGCACTGAAGGGCACTGATAGGCGGCACTGATAGGCGGCATTAATGAGGTGGCACGGATAGGTGGCACTGATAGGCAGCACCAATGAGGTGTCACGGATAGGTGGCACTGATATACGGCACTGATTGGTGGCACTGATAGGCGACACTGATAATGGGTACTGATAGACAGCACTGATAGGTAGCACTGACTGACATCACTGCTGGGCACTGACTGGCGGCACTGACTGGGCACTGACTGGCACAACCGCTGGGCACTGACTGGTGGCACTGACTGGCAGCACTGCTGGGCTGCACTGATGGGCACTGGTGGGTGGCACTGATGGGCACAGGTGGGTGGGCACAGGTGGGTGGCACTACTGGGCACAGGTAGGTGGCACTTCTGGGCACAGGTTGTGACACTGCTGGGTGGCACAGGTGGGCGCACTGCTGGGCACAGGTCAGTGCACTGCTGGACACAGATGGGTGCACTGCTGGGCACAGGTGGGCGCACTGCTGGGCACAGGTGGGCAGAACTTGTGTGTGGCACTGCTGGGCACCGATCATCAGGGCACTGGTGATCAGTGACCCTGATGATTGGTGCTGATCCCCGCTCTGACAACTGCTGGTTTTCGGCAGTACTTTCCTCACGATCTGACAGCGTGAGGAAAGTGCAGCCGAGAACCGGCATTTGCATTTTTTGGTGAACAGCGTGTCATTGGACACGGCTGATCACGTGGTAAAAGGCCGCTGTGATTGGCCCTTTTACCACGTCACGTGATCAGCTGTGTCCGTAGGACACAACGTTCACGGAGATCGCGGGTGCGCGCCACCGGGGGGCGCGCAGGAGAGCGCGTTCTGGGAGGACGTCATATGACGTCCACCCAGAACTGGCCGGCCGCAGTGCAGCCATCATTCAGCTATCTGCGGTCAGCAATTAGTTAAGTCTGTAGGAAAGGTATAGAGTTCACAAACTATGGAATATAAAGCTGACAATCGTTCAGTCATGATGTACTGATGACCAATCTAATTTTTTGAGGCCCGAAAACTCACAAAAACCCCCCAAATGACCCATTTTTGGAAAATAGATAGTCCAAGGTATTTAGTAAGAGGCATGGCAATTTTTTATTTTGAAATTTTAATTTTTTGTCACAATTTTTTGGAAAATTAAAAAATTAAAAAAAAAAAACAAAAAACTTTTTTCTTTTGTCACCAATCCAATGCAGTGTTCTCATATAACTGGTGTGGTGGTGATCAGGGACACTGGCTGGTGCCCTCTGACAGGACTTCATATGATGTCCATTCAGAAGGAGGAGCATCCCACCCAACCGTCAATCTGCTATATCCTGGGCAGGAAGGTGTTAACAATACCCAAACTAAATTCAACAAAACACATAGCTTTGTTTTTATTTCCATAATTTGTTGTTTCTTTCTAACTCATAAGAAGGAATCTAACTGATCAGAATTACTGTGCTGCAATATGATATACCTATACTTAAAGTGATTGTTAAAGTTTTTTTTTTTTTTTTTTTTTTTTTAAATAACAAACATGTCATACTTGCCTGCT